CACACACACCATGCTAAAACATGCATGTCAAAACCAACTGTGTGTGTTGATGCAACCTGAACAGGTTGAAACTTGATAGATGTTTTCATACAGCCTCAGGGTTGGACGACCTGTGAGCTGTCAGGTGTGTTAGCTCATGTTTGCAGGTGTCAGAATTGGCACAGGTGTGTGTTTGTGTGTGTCAACCCCGCCCTGTGAAAAAGGAAGTGCACACAATGAACCAGCTACTGCAAGAGGAACACAACGCTGTTAATACGACACACACACACACACACACACACACACACACACCTGTGCTATGGGAGCTGCTGTGAAATTCATCATCCAACAGCTCTGAGCTTTACATGTGTACAGCAGCACACACCTGTTTGTCCTGTGACTGATTTTAATGTTTTCATGACTTGGGGTTAGCCAGAGTAAGTAAATCTGATATTGTGGGTGGGGATTAGATACACGCCACTGGTTAATGCGTCTGCCACGCCCCTTTCAGTGAAACGTTTTCAGGTTGGACTGTTTTCTTTTCTGTGGCTCCGCCCCTTGTAGGTGACATCATGGTATCCCATTCAGAGTTTGAGCGTGCAGGGAAGGAGGCGGGGCTTCAGGTGTGGCGGGTGGAGGACATGGAGCTGGTTCCTGTTCCTGAGAGCCTGTATGGCCGGTTCTACATCGGCGATGCGTACCTGATCCTGAAGAGCACGAGCAACCGCAGCGGTGCCTTGCAGTACGACCTGCACTACTGGCAGGGTACTGCAGTATTTCACGTGCTGATACTACTGCTGGAGAACATGTCGTAGTGACAGTCAAAATAAATGTAAACGGGAAGTGGTGTAGCACTGTGACTCGTGATACTGAAGTACTTGGTGGTGTTGGTGGTGGTTGCAGCTGACCAGCTGTTCTGCTCTCTGATTGGCCGACTGTGTCTCAGGTTCAGCGTGTTCTCAGGATGAGAGCGGAGCGGCGGCTATTCTCACTGTTCAGATGGACGACTTCCTGCAGGGGGCGCCGGTCCAGTACCGCGAAGTACAGGGCTACGAGTCTGGTACCTTCACCGGGTACTTCAAATCTGGTCTCACATACATGGTAACTACAACACAAGTACTACTAGGGGTGCAACGATACTCGCATCGATATTGAACCGTTC